AATTCGTCCCAGCTAGTGCTCGTCTAGGGGCTATTTTAAACAAATTTATGAACCATTGCTATACCTATATTCTATCACTGAATAAAAAATAAAAAAAAAATTCTTTATTCAATGTATTCTATTAACTGTGCCGAAGCCGTTTAATAAATTAAACCATAATTTAAAGTTTTAAATTTAAAAGTGCCGAGTTTATGATTGTTTCAATTCCTATTGAAAAGCTCATATCTAAAATAAAAGCTTCTTCTAAAACGATATAAGTATGTCCTTGTTTACATGCGGTTCGTATTTCTTTTTATTTTATCAGTTGCAATCAATAACAATTATTTAGATAAAAGAAGAAAATTAATTTTAGTGTTCGGCAGGTGTTCGGTGAAATTTGGGTGAGATGGAAATGAACCAAATAATAGTAGTATTCTTTCGTTCTGAACGAAATGAAAATTTTCACTTAAACTGATTTATTCCTACGTGGTATAGGAAATAACAATGATTTCTGGATTTTTCTATATCGGATCGTTCCTTTCTTTGTCGATTCCCTTTATAAATCAGTTTAAGTGAAAATTTTCAGTTCGTTCAGAACGAAAGAATACTACTAATAGTACTATACTAATTACTAATATTCGTATTCGTCCATAAGAGGTTATGTTTTATGTTCATTTGTAATTCGGTTACCACAGATATAATATAAAATACTACTAATTTTTATCTCGATTATATCGAAAAAGATAATTCGAATTAGTTAGTTTTAATTTACTATCGAATTAGTCGTATTATTTAATTCGAATTTTCCCAACACTAATAAAAATGACCAAAAAAACTTTATTTTGAAATCTAATCCTACCGCATTAGTAGAACACAAATAGACCATAACTTCGATTTTGACAATACCACTATTTTACAAACACAATCTAATTATAAGAAAAGATTATTTGCAGAGATGATAGAAATCCAAAAATACAAAAATTGCGTTAATAAAAGAACAGACGTAGAAAACCTGAGTACAGCATATTTTAATATTCTTTCAAAAATTAAACAATATAACTTCAAAATAATGGTTTAAATCCAAATAATATTTTTATGTTTATATTTATTTTTTCAACTATTCTTTATCTCTAGGTAAAAATTGTATTAGTATTTTATCAACTAGAATTAGTTGCTCTCTGTATACGGTCAACGAAGGTACATCTGCCCTGCTTGTCTGTGAAAAGAAAAAAAAATCGTAATATTTCTCTCTACCTAATATCGATGTTATGTTTTTTTTTAATTTAAGTGTGTTATGTGTTTTAAAAGAAAAAAAAGGGATATATACCACTCCCCTCTATACCATCCGTGTATTAATAGATATGACTAAGAAAGTCCAGATTGAAATGTGTGGAATTCCACTGATATGTGTTTTAAGTTGTTTGTAAATTTTTTAAAAATTTTTGATTGTATTTTGCTCTCTTAACTTTGTAGTGTCCGGAAGATGCAAATAAATTTTGCGAAACGTCGACAAATTTAAAACAAAGAACTTCTGTTGATTTTTTTCGATCCTAATCCAATTAAAAAAAAAACACAGTATTTATTATTTATTTTGAACGGGAAAGCCTTGTTGATGTAAATAATAACTGTTTATATATTTATAATTAATTTATTTTTCTTTCCTAAAATGTTTTGATTAAAAGAAAATATATAAAATCAAACTTAATCATGTGACTAAAAGTTTGACTATTATTTGATATTAGCTGTATTTAAAGTGTTTTGATTTCCTTTTTCTTTTTATTATGAGACACCCGGTAGAAATCTTGTTAAATTTTTCTTCTTATTTTCGATTAGCGAAGGTCAAGTTTAATGATACTACTGGCTGCGATTTAATGAGCAATTTACCGTAACTAATTGGTAATTAAACTCGGGTGCTAGAAAAACTCGAGTATTTTTACCAAAAACCGCGTTTCCTCTTTTAGTAAAATTAAATTGGTTCCTTTTGTGGTGGGGTCACCTGTCAATTTTCCAATATGAGTCAATTATTTTATATCTTCGTTTATTAAAAAATATATTTAATTAGAATATTAAAAATCTGTTAAAATTTGATGTTTCGTAGGCCTTCGCATGGCTTTTTAAGAAATAATAAATATATGTATGTCGAGACGTTGCGAAATCGTATGAAGACAGTCAAGGAATATATTATGTTTAAACGCCTGAAATCTTGAAGGATACACAGAAAAAAAGGCTATGGTATTCTCTAAAAATTCATTTGACTGCTAACCGAAGTTATGTAAAGAATATGTTGAGTTCCTGAGAAATATAACCTGGACAAATTTCAGTTTTAATTATTTCTCTATATTAGTAATTTATGCCACTGTATATACAGGGTGTCCCAGAAATAAGTGCAAATATTTTAACTGGTAGTATAGTTTAACCCCAGAAACACGCCTATGAGATTTTTTTCGCACAAAAAATTTTGAGAATATATTTTACATATTTTTTTGGATTTTTTTTTAGTTTTTAGTTAAAAAACATAATTTCTTGATAATATAGCAACATAAATATTAGATTAAATTTACAAGAAAGAAAATCTAGAAAAGATCCAGTGGTTCTTAAAATTTTAGCAAAAAATCATTTCTTTGGAAATTTTCAAAGTAAAATAACTCCGTTATTTTGGACTTATTTCAAAAACGATAAAGAGAAAATATGTTTCTTTGATCGAGATCACCTCTTAAAATATTTGCACTTATTTCTGGGACACCCTGTATAATATACACTTCCAAACGATTTTTTACAAGCGTTTTTTAGGGACTGATTCAATTTACCATTTATATAGTACATATCTGAAATTTTAAGTTTTTAGGGACTAATTCGAATTAAAATTTATAAAATAAATTGGAATTTTATATATTTTTGAAAATATATACAGGATGCGTCTTAAATAAGTGTAAATATTTTCAGGGCTTATAAATCTCGATAAAAGAAACATATTTTCTCAAATAAGTCCAAAATAACCGAGTTATTTTATTTTGAAAATTAAAACAAAATAATTTTTTACTTAAATTTTGAGAACCGTTGGAGCTTTTCTGGATTTCCTTTCTTATAAATTTAATCTACTAAGTAAGTCCAAAATAACCGAATTATTTTATTTTGAAAATTAAAACAAAATGGTTTTTTACTTAAATTTTGAGAACCATTGGAGCTTTTCTGGATTTCCTTTCTTATAAATTTAATCTACTACCTATATTGACATCTATCAAGATATTATATTTTTTAACTAAAAATTTAAAAAATTCCAAATTTTAATTTTTTTTTTCGCAAAAAAACTCATAGTCGTGTTTTTGGGATCGAATTATACTATCCCTAAAAATATTTGCACTTATAAATTACAATAAAAAATACGAGGTTCGACAAAAAAGTTTTTGGGTTGTTGTGCATAATTATCAAAATTATGATTCTCATTTCTTTAGTAGATACTATCATATTGGTTCAATATCACTATTATCTCCTTATTCAAAGACATATTACGCAATATGTGTCAAAAACATGTCAGTATGGTTTCTCAAAAGTAGTACGAATATTTCATTAAATGAGTTAATAATATTTTTAAAGCTTAAATTATTTTTGGTGAGAGAAATTCATTTAGTCTATTTAGGGCCATAAAAAAATAAGTATTGCATTTTTAAAAACAGGGTAACTTTTGGTATATTATATTTTTTCAATTTGTCATTTCTCTAAATCGTTTTTTGTTCCAAAATCAGAATGTATACTTTATTCTCAATTTGCAGATAAATGTTGAGCAGACAAAGTAGAGTTCTCTGTATAATTACTAGTTTTTTTACGAATTCACTCTACAGTTTTAATGAACTACTGATACCAATTTTTTTTTCTCTTGTTAATTGATCCATGGAAAAAAATGAACCTATAATGTAAAAAATGTTCCTAAATTTATTGTTACTTGTTAGAATTATTCTTTATTTCAAAATCAGTCGTAGGATAAAACATAACTAGTAAAATATTGCAAGCGAACTGTCTGTTTGACTGTTTGATTAAAAAAAATAGGTAATATTATAATTTTAGTTTACCCTATATATTACAGTTGGGGGTTGGAACCTTTAGTGATACAACAGCATAATAAAATAGACACCACACAATACACCAAAACACAACTTTCGAACTATGCACACTGTTTCGGTGTATTGTGGTGAATTATTGTTTTATTTTGTTACTATACATATTATTATAACTAAATAATTTTAGGAACATCAAAATAAAATACTAGTGCAGTACTACATCAAGTTCAATTTCTGTTCAAGTTCAAGTTCCTTTTAAAAAATTAGCATCAAATAAAGCATCATAAACGTTTATAAAAAAATTTAACTTTTAAAATAACAATTTTAAATTATACAGGATGATTCTTAAATAAGTGCAATATATTTTTAGTGCAGCTAGATCTCGATAAATAAAAAGTCCAAAGTCAAATAAGCCCAAAATAGCCTAATTATTTTTCTTTATTATATTAGACTAGAAAATCTAAAAAGAAATATTTTTGCTTAAACCGCTGGATTTTTTTCTGTTTTTTTCCTTTTTATAAATTTAATCTACTTCATTATGTTACCATATTATCAAAATATTTTGTTTATAACTGAAAATTTAAAAAAATTCAAAAAATAGAAAATTTTTTTTTACGAAAAAACCTCATAGACCTGGGTTCAAGCGCTCATAAAATATTTGCACTTGTCGATCCTGTATCACTTGTTTTAAGTAAATACCTTTTTCTTCACCTCCTTCTAAATTTAATATACTACCTATGTTGTCATATTATTAAGATATTTTGTTTTATAACTGAAAATTAAAAAAAAAAATTCTGGGGTCAAAATATAGCACCCCAAAAATATTTGCACTGATTTAAGACTCACCCTGTATATAATAGCAGGGAGAATTTTGGGTAGAAATCCTACCAACTGTCTTAAGAAAATATTTTTTTCTTTAATCTATCACCGGCAAATAAAAAACAATAGAAAACTGAAAATCCTTACCATCTTTCTTGGGCACGATCAAAGACAAGGGTTGGGGAGACCCGGGCGAAGCGGGCCCATTATTCCCCTCGCTCTTCTCGATCCCCAAATGATCGTTCTTCCCCTGAGCCGCGTTCTGGTTCTCCAACAAACGCAACTGCTGCTGGTGCAGCCGGTTTTTTATCAAAAAGATCTTCGGCATCTTTACACAATAATCCTTCTAAAATATCAGTCACAAAACAGTCTAATAATCCAGTGAATCAAAACACATTTTATCACACAAAATCACTACTCTGTAGGGAACAGTTCGGTACGAACCGACACCGGCAAAGAGCGGAGCGCACTTACTAAGGTACCGTTCACAAATCCTTGACAGAGAGAACCAAGGTATATTATGGTATTCTGCTGAGAGAGACGGAGATAGAAGAACGGCGCGTGTACACACGTCCTGTTAGCGACGGGACCTTGCTAAGACTGAGTTGATGACCGGGTACCTCTATGGAACCGTTGCGCGAGGCTCCCCTCGCCCCGCCGGTGGTACCCTTGGAAGTTAGCTGGTATTCCAGCTAGCCCGCTGTTGCTGTTGAGCGGTAGTGGTGGTGGGGGAACGTGCGACCGGACCGCTCGATACGCTACCTGCCGTTTTATAATTTTCGGTTCTGTGTGTATGTTTGTTGGCGAGGTGGATTTTATATATGTATAGATAGAGGAATGGGTGTACCTGTTGCGGTGTTTTTGTTTGTTGATTTATTGTAGGGACGGATTTGTCAACTGAGAAATGGATATACTATATAGTAGATTTTTTTCGATAATAATAATAATGTTTAATTCATATATATTACAACACACACAATAAATTTACAAGAGCTTTTTGTCGAGGACTGCTTTGTGAAGAAAGCTGGTATAGAAAGTATTGTGATTGCTAATACTAATACCACAGAACAGATACAAATTTTGTACCTGTTCTGTGCTAATACCGTATGATCGAGAAAAAACGGCGTCATCTATGGCTATGAAATGAGGATCGCTGTCAATTTATATGTAAATTTATATGGGAAATGTAATTGATAGTCATTTCTCAGCCAACAGGAAACCGTTTTTTTTTTTCGATCATACGGTAGAAAATATGTATAAATCTAAATTATTATTCTTTTATTTCTAATCATACAATAATAGGAGTTTTATCTATTCATATGACGCGTTTAAAGTGATACCTATTTTATTTTCTAGTGGAGTAAAATAACTTTATTGCACTGGAATAAAGTGGATAGGTAGTGGAATAATGAAATGGGATAGTGGAATAATGAAATTTTTGATATGAAACTTTTATTTTATTTATTAATAATAATTTAAAAAGTAAAGAGGAGTAAGTAGGGGAGTGGTGGATATCCCCTCTATACCATCTGTATAATGAAAATGACAAAGAAAGTCCAGATTTAAATTGTCAATGAAGATGCAAATACATTTTGCAGAACGGAGACTAATTTAAAACAAAGGACTTCTGTCTGGTATGTTAATTCGTAAAGAGGTATGTTATTTTCGTAAAAGTTTGTGAACACCTTGTGATATTCGCTTTTGAAGCAGACAGTAACGATTTACAGCAATTTTAGCATCAAAATATATATAAAAAATATCTTTTTGCTTTTGGTCCTAATCAACACACCCACGAAATAGTGTTTATAACTTTTGTACGTCACTGTCATTGAAAAGTTTTTTATTATTACTTTTTGTTGATAGTTACTAGAGAAGAGATGATTTTAAGTCCAAGTCGATTTTAAGTTGATCTCTACCATATTCGATTAAGGCAACAATTTCAGAAAAAAAAACTTATGGACTTAAAATCATCTCTGATAGAATAACTGCAAAAAAATAATAGATTAGGAAAAACCCATGTACCCTATAAAGTATCTCAAACTTCTCTCAAAATTACAAACTTTTGTTTTCCCTTGTATAACAGACAGATGCATCTCCCATGGCCATGGGGACTAAAAATTCCTAATATAAAAACATGCTAAAAAAATCAAATAATTTAGTTACATATCGCTTAAAAAGTCCTCAAAATTATCCTTAATTACCCACGGGTGGAAAGTTTACTTCCCTCCCGTGGGCGGGAAGTAAATACAGATTTTTAAATTAGGACAAAAACATTTTTTTAAAGATTTTATTTTGATAAAATACTTCTTTAATTGCAAGTTTTTTTATAGAAAACTCTTTTAAGCAAACTACAATTGGTGCTACAATGTCCTATTAGGTACATTTTGTATTAAAAGTATTAAAATAAAAAGTTTAAAACAACAAATAAGTAACTATTTATTCAAATTAATTGTTACATTCGAATTATTATACCGGGTGCGTCTCAAAAGTGGTTCACAACTTTTGATTTTTAAATGGCACCCTCGGTATTTTTTTACTTTATTTGATAGAAAATGACACTCTGAATAGAATGTCATATCATATGTCAACTTTTGACATTCTCGCTTAATAAAAAATTGTATTTTAAAATTCAATCTAGAGTACCATGGCTATGTCAAAAACACTAATTCTTCATCGAGGAGCCTTGGAAAAATAGATTTGTTGGTCTAATGTTTTTGGTATCTTGTCCTGGGGCCAGTTAGAAAATGCTTAAATCGTATTTTTGATCATATCTCAATTTTTCCAAATGGAACGAGGGTGGCTCATTAGTATATTTGGAAAAAGCATTTTTTTACGAATAATTTGATACCACACACTTGGTATTTTAAGTCAAATTTTCGTTACGAACCGCAAGTTATAATTTCAAATAAACCATATGCGAAAATGTCAAAAGTTGACATATGATATGTCAATCTGTTAAGAGTGACATTTTCTATCGAATAAAGTAAAAAAATCCCGGGGTGCCATTTAAAAATCAAAAGTTGTAGTAATTTCCGGTGAAACCGGAAGTGACCGAAAACTATTGAATACGTCAATCAATCCTAATTTATGTCATATAATGACATTCCAAATCTCGTTTTTTTAACTAAAAAAAATAAAAAAGTTATAGGGGTGAGCCACTTTTGAGACGCACCCGGTATACTTTGACACTTTTATGGATATACCACCTTGTTGGTTGCAGTTTCTGTAAGTTCTGGTGGAGTACCAATATTAAAGTAATCCTCATTATCAGAACTTTCCGACAACATTCTGGCTTTCTATGTTATATAAATTTGAAACAGCGAACGAGAAATTCAAAATTGTTACTTGGTTGTTTGTATTGCTGTTGAAGGTTTGCGCCGTAGCAACCACGGGAACTATAGATATGGAAATGCCAAAACAGACGACAAATTTTCGCATATTTATTTTTTTTTCAAAATAAAATACTGTCTCTATTTTTTAATTAATGATGTGGTTGTAAATAAAATAGTATACAAACCTTGGTGTAAAGTTTCATTTCTGCCTCGAGATTTAGTTTACCTCGGCGCTTCGCGCCTTTGTAGACTATCAAATCTCTCGACAGTAATGAAACACTTTCCACCTCGGTGTGTAATATCTATTATTCAGATAATTCTATTAACAATAACAGCATTTAAATTTCGAGCTTTAACGCATTACCTTCCAATAATCCTACTCCTTTTGCCCACTCCTTGGCCCTTTGCCGCTTTTACACTTTTATGGACACAACCCCAACAAACCATTAACAAACCATTAAAGCGTTTGTCAGCAATAAAATTAGAATGTTCAACAGTCCGCCCAGTAAATCGCAGTCGCAAAACGAGTTCGCCCTGACTCTAATTTGAAGGGCGGGGAGTCCAAGAAACTAAAATCATAGTTAGGTAAAAAGGTCTGGACCGTTTATGGTTTTATAACGGGTCTTAAACCCTCTATTTATAGCTCTGCAAATTGAGGCCGAGACGGAATGAACGCGTTTGCTGGCGGCTTTTCGAAAAATGTTGGAGAATGAAGTTTTTATGAAATCCAATAAGGTTTTTTATTGAGCAATAATAAATTCTAAGTATTTGAGACTTAGTTAGTTGTAATACATGTTAAACTAGCTCATCCGAGTGAAGTTTTTTAGACAGTCTTGTGGTACAAATGATTTGAAATGATTGAGCTGGTGTAATAAGTGTTTTATATTTTTGTTAACATTTCGGTTTAAGTATTTTCTTGGTAAGGCAAAAATATATTTTTTAGGGATAACAAATTGTTGTTATTTTTTCCATAGCAAGTATTAAAATTACCTTATATCTATCAAAAATAGTAGATAAAATAGTACTTTAACCGCAAGGGTGGGTTAAATGATACTTTAACAGCGAGGATAGGTTAAAACTTTATTTCTTCTCGCACGTTTTTTAATTGCTTCCATTTTTGAAAATTTTTGTATTCATTTTCATAAGTTATTCGGGATTTAAATGGAAGTAGTTTGGATATGGCGTTTGTCGCCTCAGTCTGAATATCTGTTGGTAATTTATTTATTTCGTTTTGAGCCATTTCTGGCTTCAATTCAATCAGCAATCGACACGAAAGAGAATTAAAAAATATTGACTCAAGACTGACAACTAAAGAGACAGCTTTATTTATTTGCCAAATTACATAGAAACCAACGCCAACCCAGCACAATATTTGTTCTACTCGTAATAAATTCCTTGAAATAATAATTTCTGAATATTTTTTAAAACGTAACTCGCTATGGAAAAAATATTGTTTTATACACGACGATAAAATGGTTTAATAAAGTCTTTACTTAAAATCACTTTATCATCAAGGTGAATGTTTTTCTGGATATTTTTTTTTCTTCATCTGAATAGCTTTATTTTTATTGAAGATATTCGTACTTGGAAACGAAGTAAGACAGTAAGGAGTTACAGCAATTATAGCATTAAAAATGTCTTTGATTTTGGTCTTCATAAACACACCTACAAAATATAGCTTATTGTTTTTCTAATGTCACTATCTCTTATTTGTTGGTAGTTACACATGTTGATCTCTAATATGTTCAACTACAGCAACAATAGCCGATAAAAGTTTTGACTTTTCAATGACAGTGACACGTAAACACTATTTCATACAACATGGCATGATGAGGACCAAAATAAAGGCAGTCTTTTAATGCGAAATTTGTTATTAAGTGTTGCAGTCTTTAGCAAAAGCAAATATCTCCAACAAATAAACAAACTTGACATATTATATGTCATTCAGAGTGTTATTTTCTATCAAAGTAAAAAAATACGGAGAGTGTCATTTAAAAATCAAAAGTTGTAATCATTTCCGGTGAAACAGGAAGTGACCAAAAACAATTGAATACGCCAATCAGTTCTAATTTATGTCATATACTAACATACCGAATCTAGTTTTTTTATCTCAAAAAATAAAAAAAGTTATAGAGGTAAAAGCCACTTTTGAGACGCACCCGGTATAGATAAAATGAACTTCTCATATATTGTACAAAATTTTTGAACACACGATGTAACAAACATATACAATTTTATTGGCTACAATATGAGATCTTAGATAGAGAATTTGACTATTACCTAATA